TTCATAAGACCTGAGCCTGTTGCAATATGAACTAAAATGTCATGAGAAGGGGGGGGTGTTTCTTTCCTCCTGAACTGGGTCAGTTTTCCCTTGCTGTGCATAATCCTTCATTATACCAGCAGAATTATGGTACACGTAATGAAGACAAGCACTCACAACAACTTGTGATGGCTCTTTGGCAAGCAAATATTTAATCTTTGAATGCATATATTTGTTCTTTGTTAGAAGATACAGAACTAATTATTCCCTGGGTATTATAACAAAATTAAAGCAGCACAGCCTTGGTGTACTTGTGCAGTGCATACGTAATTGCAACAAGGGAGGGAGAAAATGGAAATTTCATTAGGGAGAGATGTTTTACTCAACTCCTGTGATAGAGGAGATGCCATGAATAGGATGAATTCTGTGAAGAATCTGGGCAGAGGAGGTTGAGTTTTGTGAACAGCCACTCCATGGCTAACATCAGCCTTTGCAACTGCTGTAATCAATATTTCCACTTGGATACAAATGAATTATCAAGGATGCAGGTGTAGACTTTCACTGAGATATTCTATACAGTCATCACAATACACACAGGTTTTGAAGCCTCTAGATCTCAGGATGCTATATAAGCAGAATAGAGTGATATAGCTCATTGCATCTGCAGAAGTGTCTCATGAAATGCAAAATGAATAGCTGAAAGAAATATTCTTACTACAGGAAAAATGAGGCTTCAATGGGTTTCATAAATTTTGCTATCAGAATTTTAAACAGGTTAATAAAACTGGTTATAGATTTCAAGGCCCCCTTTGCTTGAGCAGCAACTAAATCTTCCTTCTTTTTCCATAAAGTCATGTTCAAACAGCTCTATCCCTTCACTAATGCTGAAATCCTGATTCCTGCTACTGCACAGGAGTATTTTCAAGGTCATTGCAGTCACTAAAAATGCTGATGTCAGTTTGGATTTGGGGATTCCTTGTCCTTTCTTAGAGTTGTAAATGAATGTAATGTTGGTGCAAACCAACGTGGCACCTGGCTACATACACAGAAATCTTATGAGACATTTACTCCTTTTTTTTTCATGAAAGCACATGGAAGGTGTTACCAAAACTTCCAGGATCTGTTTTCAATGTCAGGCAAAGGCCCCAGCAAGTTTGGGGAGCAGGTTAACGAGAATCTCATGACATTCAGTGAGGACAAAACCAGCCAGCCCTGCCCCCAGGGACACATCAGCCATATGGGCTGGGGCCTGAAAGCTGGGGCAGCTCTGCAGAAAGAAAATTGTGGTTTTGGTGTACCCCAGGGCTAGAGAGAGGTCTCTGAGTGGGAGCCAGTCCAGCAGAGAGTCACTGGGTTCTTCAGGAGACTGGAGCACATGATATATCAGGAGTGGCTACAAGTGCTGGGTTCATTTAGCCTGGAGAAGATAAGCTAAGACAGCATCTAATTGCTGGCTTCTACTAACAAAAGGGGATTGCAGAGATGGTGGATTCAAACTCTGCAGCAGCAAAATGACAAGGCAGTGGTCATGCATTGCAGCAAGGGAAATTCCACCCATCTGTACATGGAAAAAAAATCATCAGAATAAGGGAATAGATTCCCTGAAGAGGTTATGGGCCCTCCATCCTCGAGATTTGTCAGAACTGAACTGCCTGAGGCCCTGAGCAGCCTCCCTTAGCATAGAATTTGTCCCTGCTTTGAGCAGGAGGCTGAATTGGAGGCTTTCAGAGGTCCCTTCTCACCTCAGTTGTCCTCTGATTCTCTGATTTTATTTCAGAAAGTTGTTAATACCTGTGAAATTCGGTCCTACCATAAAAAAGTGATTGTTAGTATGGCACTCAGTCCTTCAGTAAATATGTTCCACGTGGATATTTATAGTCCTGCCTGCTACCTTCAGTGAGAACAGAAAGTTCTTACTCCCCTAAGCTCTGTACAGCTGCCAGGAGAGATGGTGAAAGCCTTCCCTCCCCTCACCTACAGCATCATGCTGTGGATGTTCATTGGCTCCAGCTCCACAGCCCCTGTGATATCCAAGGATTTGTGTGAGTGTTTGCAAGGATCTGATATAAAAAGAGAACTGTCTCTTCTAGGCAGTGCTGGTATCCGTGGGTGAGTTTGGTTGGCTTGCAGACCATGTGTTGATTTCGGGGACGAGAATAAAAAGAAGGAGAAAACAGTTCCCCATCTGCTCATTTGGCTCCTCCTCTCTATCCTTAGGGACACACATGTGTCCTGTGTCCTGGAGCCTCCCTGACAGCAGTGGTGGTTCCTTGAGCTCTGACCACAGGCAGAATGTGGGGGTGAACTGCTCCTCTGCCTCTCAGCTGCCCCTTCCTGGTGATCCCTGTGCCTGGAGCAGGTGCCCTGACTGTGCCTTGGGGAGCTGGTCCAGCCCTTTGTATCCTGGGGGGAATTAAAAGGGAATCGCTTGGACACCGAGATCTTCCTACAGACCTACCTGGTGTTTGTGAGAACTGTTCCCTGATGTTGGGTCTGGGTACAGAGCAGCAAGAAATTCTCAGGGAGGTTGGATTTCAATGGGGATGACTCTTTTTCCCTGCCAGCATTTCTCTCTTAGCTGTGTTCTCTCTAATGAAATTGCCCATTCAGTGTTGGGTTGGTAATTTAAACTGAGTGCTATAGATTAACAGTTGTTGCTGCTTTATTATTGAAATGAGAGTCATGGGATCAATTTAACTGTTCCTGCCTTCATTATTTGCTTAAGACAATAGAGTCATCTCTGCAAATTCTATTGCTTTGTGGGTATTTTTAGCTTAATTATCATAGATATTAGCAACAATCAACAAAGATTTCTTAGGTGCATGTGCTGGCTCCTTGGAACACTAGTTTTTTATAGATTTTGTACTTTTGTCTTCCTTTTTTATAGTCAATCCAGTCTTCTCTCAAAAACAAAGCAACCAAACAACAACAACAACAACAAAACCCAATCTGACTTATTTTGCAAAAACATTAATGCTTTCCTAGTATTTCATTTTAAGAATTAAAGGCATAGTGATGGTTGTGCCTTCTGTTCTACATTAATAACAATACAATATTCTGGCAGTTGAGCCTGTGTAGGTACAATGGGAACTTCAGCCTTTTTTTGGGGGGCGGGGGGCAGGGGAGATGTATTTAAAATGGTTCAGAATAAGTCAAAAGCTTACTTTGAAGTAAGCTTTCAGTAAGGCCTGACTGATGCCAGGTTTACCTTATTTAGCAAAGTATCAACTCCTAAATCACCTATGACTGGTATTTGGGTTAGTGTCCCCCAGCTGGCTTAGGGCAGGAGGTGTAGGTGTTGGGGAATGGGCTCTTCATCCATTAAACACCCAGAACTTTGGATCCTGGCATGAGTTAACTTAAAGTTTCTTGGACAACTTTATGCAGAATATGTAAACAGAAGTCTCTCTGGTGTGTTGGAGCATAGCTGGATATCCTAGAAGAACAAAGAAACCAGTCTGCAGTTTTGTTTGCACTGCCTGTCTTACATTTAAAATACAGCAGGAAAAAAGCCTTATTAACATTTCTTAAGAGTGCCAGTAAAACACTAAGCAGCTTCTTGCATTTGAAGTGCCAAAAAAGAAATTTTATTATCTGGTTTAATATAATATTAACATGTTTATCTTCCAGTCAACATTTTGCTAACTATTTAGATTACTTCTACATACTTTAACCATAACGGTTGGAAACCTCTTAAACTGCTTTACAAACTTCACCCCCCCAAGATAATATTCTAAGAAAAAAATATTTTAAGATAAACAGAATTATCCTTATGTCACAGGCCTTTGTCTTGTACCTCATCCTCTCTCCCTCTTTTCTACCTTTCCCCTTCCTCCCTAAAGAAGTAAGACAGTAGGATTTTATATCCATTTTAATGGATAACAGACTAGTAAAAGACTAGTGGAGAGTGTAATGAGGGCTCTGTTTTATCATTGCACCTCGAACCTTGTAGGATTTGTGTGTGTTACTTAGGTGGTTAGATACTTGCTGTATTCAGGCTTAATTATTTTGCCCAAGGATGCAAAGAACTGTTAAAAATGAACTCACAAAACAAGGTTCGGTGCCACTTCCATTGGAGCAGATTGTATGCAAGTGCCAAATATTGGGGTTGATGGCTACATACATTAATCCAGAGGTGATCCTGTTGGTATCTGGGATCCAGCAGATGAACAGCGTGGGTGTCCCCAGGCAGGGACTCGAGGGGTGGCCATCCTGTTCCACCCGGCGTGGCTCCACACGAAGCCTCCCTCCACAGCCTTTCACCACTTGTTTCCACTTTTCTCCATAATTTCCCCTGCAGCAGAGAGTCTTTCTTCTTGAAAATAAAAACAACCAAGATTTAATGAGGAGATTTAGCTTTCCTTTGATAAGACCGTGGCCGTAATAGAGCTTGCCTGCCTGCATAGTCCCATGGTGCAGACAGCTACTCAAATATTTCCTGCTTTAGCATTATTTGACCAACTAAAAATTCAAGCCAAGGATTGCTTGTATTGAAAGAATGCAAATTGGTTTTTTCTCGATATCAGAACAAGAAGATATACACATATCTGTAGGTGGTATGGAAATGAGCGAGTGTATAACTGTTGGAAATAAATTGCTCCCAAATGATTGTTATTTTTTTGCTATGCCAGTGTAGCATATCCCAGTTCTGAGACATGCTAAAGGAGACTTTTCAAGTAGAAGCTTCCAGTGAGACAGAGGTGTCTGCACAAAATAATGGCAGATTAGGAAATTGAAAAAATATGTTTGTTAGTAAATAGTGCCTTAATGAACAAGTGCTGCAGTGAGTTAATACTCACCCTAGCTGAGGTGGCTGTTCAAATCACTCCACCCATGTGCAGAATGATCTTGTGTCTCCCCAAATGCTGATAAACTCTACAGGCTGTTCCTTTGCTGTGCTAGGCATGGATGTTGCCCTTCAGTGTCACCCTGGAGCAGATTAGCTGAAACGTTCGGTGTGTCTCCACTGTGCAGCCCTCCTTCCTTAACCTGTTTTGTTGCAGCTATGACTTTCCTTCTTCAAATAAATATCCCGCTAGTTATTAACCTGTCTTCCATCATCTGAAGGCAGATTTTTCATCTGGACTTTGTGAAGCTGCCTAAAATGAGCTCCAAAGGCTCCGTGGGCTGGGGAGAAGGTGGTTCTTTGCAGAAGAAGTTTTGGGGTCAATACTAACTCATTCATATCTTGATTGAATTAGCATTGACTAAGGAGGTGATAAAAAATAAAGACTTTCTCTTACAGCCATAATTCAGACTATGACACTCACTGTGATTTGGATAGAAAGCTTTGTTTTTGTAGTAAATTCTCCTCTGTAAGAACCCATCATTCAACCAGGAAAACACTTACTTAGAGTTCTAACTTCAGCCCATGGTCTGAGCTTAAAACAGATAATTTCTGTACTACAAATTTGATTTTATCTGCCACAAGTACAGACCCCTCTTAAGTCCTTACTATGAATTCTGTCTCACAATGCCTGCCAGTAAAGCCAACATGGTGGGGTTCTGAATATCACATTTTTATCCAGGACGTATATTAGGACTGTACAATGTGAAATGTTGATGCCACTGTGTGATAATATTTGATCAGTATGGATTTCTCTTTTCCTTTTATGGTGCATGGATTGTGTGAAATGGAATAGAACTCAGCAGCAGGAGCCTGACATGCCAGAAATCACAGCCAGAGGGAATTGTGCTGTTTCCACCCAGCAAAGCCAAGATCCAAGAGGGAACAAAAGGAGTGGTAACTCAGCTGTGGCCCCACTGGGAGGAATGGACTAACTTGGAGAGCATTGAATAGTGCTTGCCTCATTAGCAATGCCTTACTGCACAGCCTCCTCCATTCTACTCATGGTCTGCTCTGGTTGTGTTGGGATGGCAGATTTTCCATGTAACTTGTTGATGGAATAGGGAAAGAGGGTCCCTATTGATAATTTGAGTGCAGGTGTAATGAGATTAACAGTGGTGGACAGCTGGGGTGGAAAGCCAGGTACAATTATTTTCCATTAGCCAAGCACACCTCTTCCCTGATGAGAGGAGCTGTTGCCAGATCCAAGGAAAACACATCTGTCCTCTCCATCCAGGTAGTTTGTAATGTGCTCTGGGATTTTCTGAGGTGAGAAGAATGTTTGTCACTGCTGCTCAGCTGAGAAATGTTTTAGGAAGCAATTACCATCTGCCTACTGTCTGAAGAGGGAGAAAACCAAATAAGTTCTGGCAATAATGTGATGACCACAATTTCAGGTCACAAGTTTTCAATCAAACCTTGATTCAGATGAGGAAACCATGAGGGACCATTTAACATGGCAGTAACTGTAATTACAGTGTCTTCAATATTTGACTGAAGCCAATGGTTGTTCTACTTTCGTCTTGTAGCATCATCATCACCAATCTCTGCTCCCTCAGCTTTCCTGCAGTGAAGATCCTTTGTCCTCAGTGACTCATGGATGGATCAATGTTCTAAGGGACAGAAGTTTTGCTCTTGTGATTTATCCCTGCTAGACCAGTGCCAATCACTGCAGTCTCAAGGCTCCTTCTGCAAGGACAAAAGACTCGGCCTTTGGTCTCATAAATACATTTTGCTCACTGGAACTAGGTTATTATCCCATAAAACCTTTCATCCTGTTAATGAAGAGAGCATGAAGCATGTCAAATAGACAGTAATTGATATAAGCTGAATACTGCAGCCTGGCCTGATAGGGAATGTTCCAGCCTACTTTATTTTCAGAACTATCATCCTAACAAATATTTATGGTTAGGTGGGATTTTCCTACCATTTCTAAGGCTGAGAAGTAGGTGGTTGGTACAATCCTACCCATTTGTTTTCAAATAATTATTCATTGTGGGATAGCTTTCTCAAAGGGATGTAGAAACATTCTTTGCTCAGGACTATAGAGAAAGCCAAGAAAACAATAGCATATTTGTTTTTGCCTGTCTCATTTATTGCTTACAGTTTGACTGTGCTTTTAGGAAGACAAGGTGAATTTAAATGTAAAGGAGCAGAGAAATCCACTGAGAGGAAGGTAAAAGAATCTGAAGCCATTACAGGCAAGTGGCATAACTGATGGTAGGAATCTGAAGAGCAAGTGCACCTGGGGTTTAATGACATCTTCTCTTATTTCGGGATAGTCATTTTCAGTTGCCAACACTTGAGTGTGGCTGGGACAGGGTACAACAATGCAGCCTGCTGCCTCTGCTTATCAGGAGAGACAAATTCCAAAGGCTCAACATTGAGGGCTCAGAGTGGACCCAGCAAGCCTGACCTTACAGGTTGTTTTTCACTGAGATCTAGTCTGTGCAGAAAAGTTTGAGTGGTGTGTGCTCATCTGAACTTCTTCCATGTGTTGAAAAACTAAAGAAATGCTTTTTGACAAGGGGATGGAAAAAGCCAAATGATTCTCCAAGTTTCTAATTTAGAGTCCTATGACAAGCACCCACTGCCACTCTCCACTACACTGCTCATCCTTTATCCAGCAGTACCTACTTACACATTGCAGGAAAGTTATTCCTACAAGCCTGACTGTGGGATCAGACTGACACACCATTAAAATGGGTGTAGTTATGGTACTTTACTCTTGCAGGATGTCTGTTCCCCTGACCTGAGCTGTTTAGATGCTTCAAGGTTAATACCAGTGATTTCTCTGGAGTGGAAAAGTACAACAGCAACAATATCAGAACTATTCCAAGTGACAAAGAGCTGTGGTTTATTGCAAAACTTTCTGCAGCAAATCATAAAACTCAAGTGAAGAAATGCTTTCTCAGGTGATCATCACTTTCTGCTGCTTATTTTCAATATGAAGAATCATCTTGGCCATGCTTAATAATATTGAATGATGTGCTATTCCAGGCAGTGGGATAAGCTGCAACAGATTTGAGGACTTGGTGTGAGCTGAAAAATGAAGAAAAAGAGCTGAACCAACCAGAACTTAACAAATCCACCTTATGATAATGAATACCTGCTCTCTTACTTCTCAGAGGAATCAGTCCAATTTTTCCAGCCTGAGGGACAAAAAACCCACCAGTCCAATTGACTGTTAGTGTGGATTGGCTGAAAATGCTAAGAAAGAAAAATTGTCTGAGTGTCCAAGTGAGAGCAAGAGCAGTTCTCATTCTGCATCTTAATGGCAGTATAAAATGACCAGCACTTCTGCAGCAGATTACAGGGTCACATCTCCATTACCATGGGGTATGCAGAAGGCAGAATACGTAAGTACATATACCACAGTCCTTTCTCTGCTTCTCAAAATGCTTCTCCTGTGGTTAAATAAAATTCTGAGGTGCTTTGGTTGTGCTATTCCCATCTGCTTTCATTGCCTTTCTTTTTTTTTTTTTAATATATTTTTAATAGCAATGGAATATGCTGAGCTGCAAATGATGTTACTTGCTGCATTTTTCCTCATCCCTGGAGTTATATATTCATTTCCAGCTTGTAAAAATAACCTGTTTATTCTGTTTCTGAGTCCTGCATGAGATGGTTCTCATTTTCCCTGTGCTGGTTCCCTGTGGTTTTATCACAACTGCCTGCCCACCTATGTGCTTTGTCTCAGCTACGGAGTTTTCCTTCTCCAGAAAATTGCCGAGCAGTTCTCCCCAGCAGCAGAGAAACGATGGTCAGTGCGGAAGTCTCTTTGTGCTGAATTAATTGCAAGCCTCACTACTAATTTCAGAGCAAGCAGTACAGTGCCCTAACTTATCCTGGGTGATTTTGGGCATCGTTTATTTCCCTGGTTGTCTCCAGTCAGTCAAACTAGACGATGGTATGCTCTGTTCTCCCACCTCCACACACCTTATGCATCTCACTCCCCACTCCCTGCAGGCTGTGCCAGCCCAGCCCATCTGCTGAGGGGGTGCAGCCTGTGCCCACCCCAGCACAGGGAAGAGCTGAATTCTACCAGTAGCCAGGGTGGTCACCATTGCCACAGGGCATGGGCAAACAATGGGGGGGCTTCAGCTGGAACAAAGCAGGTTGAGGATGGATGTTTAGAAAAATGTCCCTTCCACTGAAAAAAAGATAGTGAAGCCCAGGGATGTATCATTAAGGGGTGGTGGAATTGTTTATAGGAAGGCCAAGAGTGTCTCAACCCCACAGCAGTCATAAGTGATGCTGTCTTGGAGCTGGAGGTAGGCTGGGCTGGCTGCCCCCACTTGGCCCCTGCTTTTCTGTGGCTGTACAAATCTTTGGTTTCCAAAAATATGGTCATTATAATACGAGCCACCCTGTAATTGCTTTATTATTTTCCATTCAGAGGCTGCAAAATTGAATTACTAAGCATCCCCTAATTCTGTCTCTCTTCACATAGCTCTTGGTCTCCTCTGAGCTCATCCAGAACCAACAACTCTCGGGCTGACATGTGCAGATGGATCCCTGGAGCATCTGTAGGACACATTTATGAGTAATTACCTATCATCTGGAAGGTTACAGAGCAGCAGCATAAGTGTGTGACCTGCCTTCTGCATTTATATCTAACTCAAGACTAAGAAACATCTCTAGCAGATGGGAAAACTCCAGACTCTCAAAGTTACTCCAAGATGGATTATTTACCATCTAGCACCTATCAGAGCAATGAGAGCTTATCCAACACAGATTCTCTTATGTCTGATTATTCTTCCTTCTTTATTTCATCAGGATCCCAATCAGGATTGATCAAAATACTGAATGAGAAACTGGTCAATATAAGGGATTTTTTTTGACCTATTTTATGACCTTGTTTCTTGATCAGTTTATGCCAAAACCTTTCAGCCACTGGGTTGTCCAATGCTGCTGTCACCCTGTTTATTTGCTGTTCACAGTGCAGGACTGTCCCACACAAGGTAGAAAAGTGGCACCATTTCTCTCTGTCCTGCAGGACAGTGCTGTGAAGATGACAGTCTTTCCATAGGATCCGTGGGGACCCTCTCCACTAACCTCACCAGGAGCTGCACAAATGCTGGTAACACAACCCAACCCATTTACTTTTCTATCTATGATACTCTTTTATACGCCGCTCTGGCAGAGCCTGAAAATTCAAGTTTAACTTTAGCTTCTGCTGGATATGGAGATTCAATCTGGATGTTTATCTGAAATGTCCTTTAGTGTGGAAACCACAGAAAAATTTATGTAACAAGATCCATGAGTTTATGTTGTTTCATGGGACTTCTCTAGACCTACACTTCTTGTTTGCTGTTTGCTTATCCCAACTGCAATGAAGTCATCCAGATGGAAATCACCTGTTTGGCTCTCTGTGTACAAAACTCCTTTCGGGGAGTTTCCATCTGTCAGTCTGTAGGCCTGGCACAAATATGGAAGTACAGAGGAATTTCTTGCATTGTAACTTTCTAGTTACCTTTTCCAAAACTCAGAGGTTGAATTTGGCCTAAGCTTTAGAAAATACACAGGCAAACGCTTGTTACATGCAAACTGTTTCACTTCCCTTTAAACCAACATGAAAAAAAGAAGGAAAAGCTGACATTTCAGTTCTGCAAACAGCTCAGCACTTCTAAGCACTGGCTCAGTGGCTCTGCTCCAACATCTCTGTTGCCTCCTCCCATCCTACCTGGAGCGCCCTGAGACTGCACATCCAGAGAGTTTGGGAAATTTATGAAGACTAAATGTTATGGAAATCTTATCTCATATTTGTTTGGGTTTTTTTATTTGTTTGTTTGTTTTTTCTAAAACCCATTCAAAAAACAAACCATGCAAATATTTGCAACAGCAAAGTGAAAGTCATTTTAGAGGTGGTGGTATTCATGGGAAGCAAAAGGTACGAAATATATGAACTCTCTCCAACAGTAATCCTATTTTTTCCCTCATCTCATGAAGTCATTGATTCTTTAGAATTTCCCAAATGTATCCAGAGTCAAAGCAGTGCCTTGCAATGGGGTTTGACACTATTTTAGCCACGGTCAAAGTGAAAGCTCCTATTGTCAGGAGTAAAAACCCTGGAGGGAATGTGCCAGCCAGGAGAGATTAAACATTCTTTGTATTGTACAACAAAAAGCGTTGTAAGGTTGATTACAATAAGAGCTCTCCAAAGTGACAGCATTGGGCTCCTTCTCCTCTTTCATCCTCCCTTTAAGCTGTTGCACAGTTATAAAAAGAAATAACATTTCAGCAAAGTGAATGGTCATTCAGTGCTCAGGATAAAAGGCACATTCCTTTTTCATGGACAGAGAGCGACCATTGCAGTGCCTGGGGATAAGTTGTGGAGCTGGGTTTCTCACAGAAGGCTGTGCTGCTGCCTTTAAAATGGGAAAATTTATCTTTAACATACCCTGATCTTGTTTTGAGGTTGGAAAGGTTTATATCAAACTTTCTAGTCTCTCCAGAAGGCAGTTTCATTAATGCCACAACAATTGTATAGGGGTGAAGTGACTTCAGAAGAGTGTCTATTTGTTTGTGCCTTTTATTGGATTTTTTTTGCAATATGCCTAGTTTAAAGTCAGAACACTGAGAAACTGAGAAATAATCCCAAATTTATTCAGTGCAATTTGAAAATCTTTCAAACATCTCCAAGCAGCTACAGTTGGTCAAAACCCTGCTGAGACCTTTCACAGAATCACAGAATATTCTTTGTTGGAAGGGACCCGCAAGGATCATTGGGCTCGACTTCTTATTCCTGTCCAAGCAGAGAGCTTGTCAGTGGGTAACACCCTGTTTACCTTGGACAGACAGTGAGATTGGATCCCCTCCTCTGCTTAGAGCATTCAGCCTGGTGAGGAAGTGCAGAGGTGAATGGTGTGGATTGCTCAGTTTTTTTCTCTTCAGTCGACTTCAAGAAATTAAATGAAATTTACTTTTGTTTATCTGGGGAATTCAAAGCAAAAGTCAGAAAATGAAAACTAAAAGAGTAGTGTGCCCTGCTGAAATGTACAATTCCCAGGCATTGTACAACAGTCAACCCACACAGACCTTGGGTTAATGCAGCTCTGTGCTTATCCAATCAGGAACAGAATGGGGCAACAAACAAGATCTCATCAAGCTGATAGAGCAGGAAATATTTGATCTGAATTTTCTCAGCAGAGAACCATTCTAAGTGATACAAAGGCTTTTTCTGTATTTGCAATAACTGCATTTTCTGTGAGCAAATCATCCTGATAGAAATTTTCCAGCTATCTTTTTTTGGGGGAATAATTGGGTCATGATAATGCACTGCCTTGAAGAGAGCCTGGAAAGATTAGGCATGCTTGCTTTGAAAAGATTAGCCACGCTTGTTTGGGAAAGGAGGGGTCATGATAAAAATAACGACTGCTTTATCTAAGCATATCAGAAATCTTTAATTGTGGTTTTGTACTAGAGTGGACAGATATAAAAACGACAAGTTCAAACTCATAAAAGGAAAAGCAAATTTAATAAGATTTTAGACTCTTCTATGAATAACAAGGCTAGACAGAAGTGTCAAAGGTGGCACTGAACATCTGCAAGTCCAGAGTGTAAATATTCCCAAATTGAAAGAAATGCTGAAACAAGGCTCTCTGTGTGCAAATGCCATAAAGACCATGAAATGCCCCAAAGCTGTGGGGGTTTTGTACTGTTTTTTTTCTAGTTGGCTTAGCACTAACAAATCCAGATCCTACATAAACCAACACTATTCACAGACGGTGGTGGAGGGGCCATCTGGTTCATCTTCCTGCTCCAAACCAATCACTAATGATCCTGACATTTCTTCAGCCTTTCTGTTAACAGGGCTAAAACACACACCTAAGCAGTTCACCTTTCCTGTTTGAATCACTACCCTCCAGTTTCCTCACGTAAGCAGAATTTTAGTTATTAATAATAATGTATAATAATTAATTCTTGCATTAAAACACAGATATCAAGGATGCTTGACAGGACAGGCTATGTACTCCCTTCTTATTCCTATGAAGGACAAATCTATCCCTCAGATTTTTAGGTTCTTACTGAGTTCACCATCATTTGTAGCTGCCTGTAGATATTTCCTTCTCTTCCTTGTTATCCTGTGCCATTACTGCCAACCCCTTCACTAGAGCAGCAATATGCAAAGATTTCTTCCCCTTTACTTCAGGTTTGATCATCAGCCCAGGCTACTTCACCTTGTGATCAAGGAGGTGAAAATTACCCTCTGGAGCCACGCATTGATCGAGCACCACCTGTGCTGTGTGTCCCAGCTGAGGTGGGGGCCAAACCCTGGAAGGGAAGGGAAGGGAAGGGAGGGGCCACATGAGCAGCACTGAGCTCATGTGGGGCTTATAAAGAAGGGAGTGAGGGTAGTCAGCTGCTGTGGTGGACTTAAAGTTGTACCAAGAGGTGGTAGGTGAGCTGTTATGGAGTTTCTGTAGGTGCATTCAAGGAAGGAAGGTGGATGAAACCTTAGCTCATTACCACGTGCTCTGGTGTGAGCACTCCCACAGGTTGGATGTGATGGCTGGGTGAAGCAAAAGAAAAGAAGAAAACTTTTTGATATTTTTTTCCCCCAAAGACTGCTTTACTGGTGTATGACTAATTGAAAAAAGGACTCATGCTTGAAGTTTTCTACCACTGCTTCTCTGTGGATGAACGTAAGCTGAACCTTCACTGGACGACTGCCAAGGTATTTATCTGTTGTTTCTCATTGGAGCTGTGGCTGGGTTTCCTTTTTGATATTCCAGTGGAGTATATAACGTTTGTAATTCTCTTTCAATCCAGCAAAGTATATCAACAGCATAATTTTGCAGGTTTTCCTCGCTGCTACAAAGTGCCTTGTTCCCTGTGGGGGTTGTTGTGGGTCTGGCATGGCATCCCTGTTGTGCTTTTTAAATGCCTCACTGTAAATCTTTGCATTACATGATTGTGATGTCCTGCTGGGTCTCTTTGGAGTGTGATTTTTGGCAAGGTTCTGCATTGAAGATGATGGCAGGTCAGGAGTGTTCCTTCCCATACTCATATTCATAAGCCTGTGGTACATTTCTGGTCGTGAGCTGTGCTCAGAGTTCATCTGTCTGAAAATTAAGTGGCCAAAAGTAGTAATCACTTTTAACTCCCTGTCTTTAACCTGTTGCTCAGCTCACATATGAAGAACAAGCCCAAGAATGTATAGAAAGCAAAGTAGGATTTTTTTGTTAGCTCTGCTTGTGAACCTTTGGAGAGGGTAGTCACTTGACATGTAATAGCAAGGGAGCAAGTGGAGAGTCCAGGCTCTCTGGAAGCCTGGCAGCCCTATCTCCTATGGCATCGTGCTGGCATTGCTGCAGGCTGGCTGGCCTTCCTCCAGCAGGTCCCTGTGCTGCTCTTCCTTTGAATCACAGCCTGGCAATGTGTGAGTGCCATCATCTCCCAGGAAAGGGACTCACAGCCTCTCCTGAGCCAATCTTTGGTGTATTTTAATATATATTTGTTGTTCTTTGTACCATTTCAGTTGGACCCAAAGGAAATGGTACCCATCTGCAGATTTCTGGAAGAAATTAATTATTGCTTTTCTGAGTAGCTCTCTTCTGCCAGCATGCAACAATACCACTTCCAGTAGTTTCTGGAAAGCTCAGGTTCCATGTTGTGAGGTTTTTCCCACTGCACAGCCCTTACTACTTGCCATTATTTGTCTCAGTGCCTGCAGTGTATTAAGCCACACTGAGGGGCTGGTGTTCCTGCATTGCAATGTAGTGTTTCTTCCAGATATGTGAGAATTTTAGCTGTAAATATGGGCATGGGATATATTTGTGAAAACATAATTACTGAATGTCCAATTCCAGGCACAGTTGCACTGGATTTTCCAAAGACATTTAGAGATTTAACCTATGGCCACCTTATTTAACTCTTTCAAATGTCTGTCTTGGGTTGCCCCTCTCTTCTCCCATGGCAGAGTCACGAACTCCTGTGGTTGTGGGTTTTATGTTGCCTGGGTGTTTGGGTACAGACTGTGCCTAGAGGATGGAATATCTGAGTAGGTGAGAGCTCTGTGTAAAGCAACTTTCAGTGATGTGTGGGATATTTAATAGAAGTGCCTTGTGTAACACCTCCTTACCTTCATCAAGGGCCAAATGCAAAAGGGATTTCTATGGAGAAAGGGGGACCCTGTGCTCTTGTTTCCCATGGGGAGACCATCAGGGAGAACATCGTTCCCTGGAGGACTGGTGTCCAGATTCAGGAGGTCCAGATGTGTCCACGGATGCACCAACCTTTTCAGTTTCTCCAGTCACAAACTCACTTTGACAGTCTGTCTCCACCCAAACCACCCAATGAATCAGCGTTTGCTCTCTGGTGTTTTCCTGGTGAACGGCGTTTTCTTCAGGGAGTCAGCAGGCAGTGCTGGTTATGATGGATGGAGGCATAAATGTAACAGTCTGTGTGAGC